CACGTACATCAATTTACATTTTGCGTACATTTATTTCCTTTGAACAAAAATCAACGCATTTTGAAGACGGAAGACAATATAACAGTACTTAGGACATGCTAAGCATAACACATAAATGATTTCATGCCATTTTCGTACAATGTTGTGGCTGCAAGACTTGATATTCACAAATCATGTAAATTCTAATGGCTTTAGAATATTTGTTGTTGTTTGAAACGCTTGCAACATTACATAAACACAGACTAAGTTGACTCTTAACCCCTCCCCCTCCCTATTTGTTTAGTTAAAGACGTTACTCTTGCAGCCAAGAATCTATCAGTCTTGAGTTAGTTTGGCACTAAAGACTATAACACAAGCTATTGGTGCAAAAACAATGTAACTCTCTCCAGCCTCTGACAAAAAAAAGGCTTCCTGATTTCTACTTTGGGCACATCCCTTCTCCTTCCCTGACTAAAATAGCCCACAGCCCTCAAAGTTGCTCTTTTTTTTTTGCCTTTTTGTAAGGATATGTATTCTCTTAGAGTAAGAGACCATGTATTTGTTGAAAAATTGGGGGGAAATAGTCCCAAAAGATTACAAAATATGTTTGACATGCACATGTACAATTTTGTGAACATAGGGTTACATAGCTTCTACAACTCCCCAACCCCAAAGTAAAAGCAAACAAGAAACAAACAAACACTAAATATGTGTATTTGGCATTTCATGGTAAGGTTGAATAAACTGTACATTGTAACATGGTATAGTGCACTCGATATGCATTTTTTTTTCTTCAAGAGATTTCAAATTCAAGTTCTTGATACAATCTCGAGGTGACCTTCAGATTTTGTTCACATTGTGACATCATCTCACACAAAAATAAACCAAAAATAGATGTAGTCACATTTATTCAATTTTTCTAAAGTTTTTGTAACAAGAGAAGTTAGAAATAACATAGAGAAGCCATGACCTATCACTATTGAAGAAGATGATAACCTAGAAACTGAAATGTATTTTGTGGATATACAAATAGAAATGTCAAAACTTTAAAAATGTGTATTTAGTTTTAAAGAAATGTACATCTGCTGACCATGCATACATTCAGGCCCTTTCGTCGGGCATGCAACAATCGTTTCAATTAATCAATCAATTTATCCATTTCCTCTCAAAAGGTACATGAAACAAGATGACAGAAAATCACATTTATCACCTTTAGATGTGTGTGAAAATTACTACAACGTAATCCTTACGATTTCTAGGCTATTCATTGACATTATGCCAAGATGATTTTACGAAAATCTTTGCAAGCACGTTATCTACCCAATACAGCGCATGATACCACTATAGTCTACTGTTTAAACAAAAAACAACAAAAGAACTTGAAGTGACAAATGGAACACACCTCAGAAAAATATGCTCTATATGGTCTCCATAAGATGGAATGATAGCGTAAAAGTTGAGGTAATAAGTCTAAGTCAATATATTATACTATATTATACCTAGGTAAAAGAAAAATATTTCATAAAGGTACTGTTGAAATAGAATTGAGGCTAAACCGATACTAATATGCTTGAAATTATAAATTAGACAATTTTTAAAACTGATAATTATATAGTGCATTAGATTTTTTTCTTTGCTTTCAAAGTACTTATAATAGAAGCATAGAAAGATAACTCTGGCCAAAATCATCTTATAAAACTTTCATTAATTTTTATGAATTGTTGAGATTCCCGATACTTTCATGCTGAAAAAATGCTGCATTTATCAGAACGGGACGTTTGGAAAATTTAGAAGAACTTCTTGCAGCATTATAGGCCGACATTGCCTGTTTGTTCAATTTTGATTTTGCAAATGTGTCTGATTTAAGTCAGCTGAATACAGTCTCCTTTGACTAAAGTGAACAAAATGAAGACTGCAAATAATTATTCTGTCACTGGACGCTCTTGCAAAGTGTCTATAAAAAAAAAGTTTCCTGATTTTCTACACATGTCAATGTTTGAGCTTCAAAATAAAATTTGATGATTAAAGATAGTAGCACACATCTATTGTACCAGTATTATGCAACGAGTTGTACTAAAAAAAAAAGAATATTATCCTACTCTACCGACCTACTGTTTCTTGACAACATGAAGAGACTGTCATCACATCTCTATTTACAAACTGATCTTATGTACAATATACACCAGTAATAAAGTCAATTTGAGATGTTGTTTAGTACCAGTCTCTACTAGCTCTAATGAAAATGCAAGCTATGATATGATCATAGGTAATTTCCACAAGGTGAAAAAACAAGTTTGACCATGTGGCATAAAATGTTAATTTCTTGTGTTTCATTATTCTCACAAACTATTACGTAACAACTCATAAAAAATGTTGAAGTATCTATCTACAAGAGCAAAGAAAATTCAAAATATTTATGCAATACCATTTCCTATAAAGGAGAATTTGAGATGCTTCCAAAGGAAAATGTTCTGAAATATCTAGTGGTTTGAAAATCATATCATAGTTTCTTGTATAATTTCTGGAAAAAAAATAGTTCATCATGAAACAAAGATTTCTCATTTTTCCCTCTGGTATATTAGTTTATGGAATAATATTTGGATATGCATATCTTTTTTTTTTGCTGCTGAATTTTAACAATTAGAAGTTGAAATTCTGAATATATCTTTGCAAGTATTAATACTGTTGAACTGTAAACCTACAGCTTGCAAGTTTGGAGGAAAAAAATGAGAAAAATATATTCTTCATTTCCACCAAAAGAGGGCGCTCACGGCTCTTCATTACAGATCTATATTTAGAGGAGGTATCACTATGAACATGACGGACAAAGAAAGCGGACAAAATATACAGTTCCTCAGGTAGACAAAGGAACATCCCTTCACTGCTATTATGTAAAAATGTGTAGAACAGGTGTCACATACAAATTCACCTGTTCTACACATTTTTACATAATAGCAGTAAAGGGATGTTCCTTTGTCTACCACAGCAATTGTTGAGGGTAGAATGAGGAACTGTATATTTTGTCCGCTTTCTTTGTCCGTCATATTCATAGTGTATGTCCCTGAAGTAACTCAGGCTTTGCATGAGCTCTCTGGATGAGAACATTCTGGAAGTTTGATGTTTATAATACTGCCTAGGAAAGTGGAATACTTTTTGAAGATGGCACCAAAACTACCTAAACTGGGAGGTGTTTTACAAAGATCCTAAGTCAAACTTAACTCTAAGTTGGACTTCAAAATTATGGAGAGCCATTTGTAACCTTAAAATAAAATATATTCAAAAGCGAAATATTTTAGACTTTTTAAAAATTCCACATCAAGAACATGAAATCTCCTTGATAATAGAAAATATGAATGATTTAAACAATTTATGCCTTTAAAAATAACTTTTACAAAATATTTTCATAGATGCTAACAGCTTTCCATAATTGTTAAGTCCAACTTAGAGATAAGTTCAACTTAGGATCTTTGTGAAACATCCCACAGGACCCATACCATGTATATGTTGGAAATAGAATGCTATAAATTGGAATAAAATATATTCATCCTCTCCAAATTTCACCAAGATAAAGTATTTTGAAGTTGGCAGGAGTGAAAATCTTTGGATATGATATCTAAGCTGCTATACAACTGGACCCACACAATGTACTTCTGAGAGATAAAATGCACTCATTTTGTAAAATATATATTTGCCCTCTTTTTTAATCTCAGAAATTTTGCAAGGTCTAATGAACATTCAGTAGCTTATAACAGTTATTGCAACTTGTCATTGATAACAAGTTCAACTTTTCTTTTTATGCTTTCTGATCGGCTACCACAGTAGCAGAGGTCGACGTTATTTTGAGCTGTTCATTTTTACTTACGTGTGGAAAAAATATGGAGTTCCCCCCCTTTTCAAGACAAAACAGTACACTTTAAACATCAATAGGTACACGTAGGTATGTTATAGACTATGTTACTGATGCTCAGTTGATAATACATTGAACAAATGTCCTAGACAGGCTGGAATGATATCAAATAAAATTCAATCAAAAATACCTCTAAAGTGAGTCCACATCAAAACAAAATAATGCAATTCATTTAACTCTTCTAAAAATGGAGAGAAAAAATATACCTCTGTACTTGTCTACTCAATGTACAATTCAGGAGAATAATTCAAAGAATGTGACATTTTTTTTTGGAAATACAATACTATTTTTATACACAACTCTCATATTTTGGCATTTTATTCACAAATACCATGACATGTACCTTTTCACGTGCTTAGACATACCAGTGGCGAAGGTCAAAGGTCAAATTTCAACAGGGTCTGCAGTTAGCAACAGAGGCAGGATTCAAAGCTTTTTAATGCCACAAACACAACACCAAAACTGATCGATCAGCCTAGCATTATCAAGGGCCAGAGAGGAAACTGGAACCAGTATGACCTATGAAGCTCTGAAAACATCTATTTAAAAGAAACTCTTTCGTTTTATTGTACGACCATAACCATGCTTCAACAAGCTACATAACTCAAATCACAGTTATTGGGTTTTTTATCTTTAAAAATGAGCTGCAACGTGCCTTCTGTTATACATACAGAGCGAAAAAATCTTTTTGTTCCTCCAAAGACATCAAGATTTGCACTCTCATAGAGGTTATTTCTGAATTGATAATTTACCATTACATTGAGTAACATTTCTACATTTATAAATTCCTACTTCTGCAGTATGAAAAGTGTTAATTTAAGTGATGTGTCAATTTTGGTAAATTGCATGGATTAAAAATTAGTGTACAATTAAGCGTCAATGTTTAGTATCATCCAATAAATTTTGAAGTATGATTTCACAACAGGCTTTTGCTTCTTTATTTTTAATCCGTTACGATTGAAAACTACCACAAACTTCCAGTAACACTTCACAAATGTTCATGTGTGAAGGTGTATCTGACATACACACATTACGATAAATATCATCAAACCAAATCTTTCACATGTTTATGATTACTTCAGATTCGAAAAACATTCATACCATAAAATAATTGAATCATCAATGATTATAATACTAAATTTCTGCGATTTCCAAAAGCTTTTAGCCCCAAAATGACTGTCCTTCACAATTCGCGAAAGCATCGTGTTACACGGTATTCATTTCAAATACTAGCAGTCATTTGTCATATAACAACTGAAAACTGCAATCGAAACCTGACTCGACACTAAGATACTGGTAGATTCTAATATAACCTTCGACCACTTCCATTCTTGACCACTTGTGCGGTCACATTAATTGACCGCATAAGTGGTCAGAAACTTATCCTACCAGTATATTGTTATGTTGGTGTATTGTTCTCTCGTGACAAATAATATATTACAGGTGTTTTAAATGAGCTAAGTTTGACCTCAACCATCACTGAAAGTGTTAAAAAGTTAAAAAGACTAAAGATTTATGAGTTCTGGGAGATCATTTGGTAGACCCAAAGTATGAGGAATGACCCTTTATAAAAAAAACATCAAACTTTGTTCAATTGCAGGATTAATTTAAGAATGGAAATTTTTCAGCCTGCAGCATTCTTTAAGGTCATGTGATGTGCTATTCAGTATTCACTGTCTGCTGTTGTCTCCTACGGATAGATCCTTGCACTCCTCTGTGAATTTCGGAAACCACTTTGGAATTTTCTACTCTGTTTTACAATTCTACTACGCCTCCACGTTTGTTCATTCTTTTAAGAATGGAAATTGTGCTGGTTGTCATACTTGTAGATCATAGGTCATAGGTCGAAGGTCATGTTATCCACTGCTGTCTCATTTGGTGGATTGCTCTGCCATCACCACATTTCAATCAAATTTCTGATTTGTCACATAATGTTAATATACTTCGCTATCTCAGTTTGATGGCTGCATTCTTTTACACTGGAAATTGTACCAGTTGTCTTACTTCAAAGGTCAAAGGTCATGTTATCCACTGCTGTCTCTCATATCCTTGTTCAGCTCTGCCATTACCACTTTGGAATTTAAATTCTGGTTACACAAGTTGAGCGCTGTTCAATTGCAGGGGTATTTTCAAAAATTTGGAAATTGTGCTGGTTGTCATAATGAAGGTCATAGGTCAAAGTCATTTTATCCACTGCTGTCTCCCATATCCTTGCACAGCTCTGTTGGTTTCTCTGCCATCTGAAAGGCACGACCCAGGTACAGAGGTCTCTTTAAAAGGCACACAGAGGTCAAGGGCCTCACAGAGATGAAAGGTCAAAGGTCAGACATCCTTTCTGACCTTCTTCTTCTTCTTGACCGGCTTGGCTTCTACCCAGGCATCTGAAGAAAAGAAAAAATTGATGCATTGCAAAATGGAACAAAGACAAGTGAGAAATGCTTCATTCGATACATGAGTTCAAGTAATGCCACTTGAGCAGAGTGAAAAGAGTGTTTAGACCAAAACAAAACTAATTAAGTAGATACTAATGATTGCAGTGACACAGTATTACCTTTGTCTGTGTGTGTGGGGGGGGGGGGTTGTCCAGGGGTAATTTTCTCTGAAGGGGTAGTTTATTCTGTTTCTCTGGGGGGTAGTTCTCACGGGGGAGGGGGGCTCGTCAGAACAGGTGGTGGGGGGGGGTGAATAGTTATCCAAGGTGCTTTAGTAACTGTAATGTTGCACAAGAGCTGAAGCCTGTTACTACAGTTCAAACATCTCTGCTACCTTTTTAATCCAATTATTTCTATTTCCGTGATACACTTGGGTATCACATAGGTGATATACATAGTATTTAACATCTAAATTATTCAAACCCTTACCCAGTTTTGTTATTTATTTATTTTTAAGTATGTGAAAAAATTATTTGTCCCAATTTGTGTTTCTTGATGATGTAACATCGCAAATCTTTTTTTAAAAGATTAAAAAAACAAAAAAACATAGCAAATCTTACATCTAAATGTATTCAACAAAGGCCCTAATTGAACAAATCCACCTTTCATTCTCGAGTTACGAAAAAAACAAAAAAAACATCAAATTTACAAGGGGTATGAATAATTTAGTTATCAACTGCATGTATCTTACCTCCAGTTTCCCCGCCTGTTGCTCCTTCTTTCCTCTCCTCTGATTTTGCCTCAGCACTGGCTGGTGTGGCTGTGCTTGCTGGCTCTGGACTAGAGATGGGTTTGGGAGCCAGTCTCTCTTCTACTGTTTCTACTGCTACTGGTGCTTTTGTCTTGGGCTCTGACGGCGCTTTAGTATCAGGCTCCGATGGTGCACCTGTATGACACGCAGGTAAGGAGAGGTCAAAGGTGGAAGGTCATATCGAGAGTTCAGTGACATAAAGACGTAACTCCATATTTTGCCAAAACGAGTATTTGATATCAAAATGTTCAGAAAAATGTGGGCGTTCCAGGAAACACAAAGAGTTAATTGTAACTCCACCCAATACCCTATTGAAGTCAATGGCTAGTGAAACATAGACTTAACTTCTTAAGGCCCAACTGCTCAGTGAAACATGTACCACTTTTTCTTAAAATGGCCAAAATAGAGTTAAGTCTTTGTGTCACTGACCCCTCGAAATGTGGACCTTGATAATTCAAATGCGCAATTACATTTGTACACATTGCATAGTTGTATATTTCTTCATTTACACCAGCGCCTTTGTTTAGGCAATTTCATGTAGATATTGAATTCATTTAAAATAGGAGTAGTCAAATTGCAAATGGATTAAAGCTTTGTGATAATTCAAATTGCAAAACTTTTCACTCTCTTCAACTAGACACCCATGCTCTGGAATTCCTTGATTAGACTGCGAGACCATAACACCTCTACATATAGAGAGCAAAGTATTTTCTTTTTCATTGAATGGTTTCCTTTAAAGGCATTGTTTAACAATGTTTAAAGTTTTACAAATCTGAGATGCATGGCCCTACATGTTATCAGTTTCTGTGATATGGTGTAATATTGAAGCCCTTAAAAAATTGCGCTTCAGACTGATTGTGAAGTGCTTCAAAAAAGTAATTATTAAGTGACTGGTTTTACCATACTCATTTTTCATGAGAGACTGAAGTGTTATAAAAAAAACTCTTCAAAACCCTTTGGCGAACAGTTTTTGACAATTCCAATTCCAATCATAAATATCTTGATAATCAGACAGGCAATCGGCTTGTAAAAGTCATGGGATTCCTGTTTGACCTAAAGGGTTATAATTATGATTGCAGCATGAGTTAAATCCAGGATTTAGTCTAGAATCTGAGGCAAAGATACCCAATCCCTTTAAGAACCAAGTGCTAATAAGTGAAACTATCCTACTTACCACTAGATGCTATATTGGGTTTGCTGCTTTTTATCGGTTCCACAGGAACTACTTTTGTTGCTGATTTCTTGGCAGATTTCTTTGGAGACTTCTTAGGCGTTCCTAGCGGAAATAAAAAATGACATCCTGATATGTATGTATTATAATAACAGTCATTTAATGGGTATAAAGAGTGTTTTGTGTATCTATTACCCTTTACAGATACCGGTATACAATTACCCTAATCCTCAAATTAAAGAGAAGGTTGAGTTCTGGGAAGAGTTGACAAATAATTTGTGAGCGTTATCATTGTATTATGCAAGTGTGGAAGAACATCAGATAAAAAATGTTTCCTGAAAAGCATGGCTCTTCAAATGCCTTAATTTTGTATAAATCATATATGGCATATAACATCATAAAAATTGGGGCGGATTTTTATGCCACATGTTCATGTAGTCACATATGCATCTTTCTGTGTACAGTGCTTGTAACTTTACCAAAGCTGGGCCAAATTTCTTATCATTTTGATGATTCCAGAACCTTGTGGTACACACCAATATTTATATGCTAGATGATCAACCTCTTCTGATCGATTCCACAACATATCTTTCACAATGCAATCACACGACCAAAACTCAACTTTATCCTTATAGGTAATCCAATTTTTTATGGAAATTTGGAAAATTGGGTGAATAGTGGTTCTTTACAATTTTGGTATATTTGGATGCCCCTGTGGATGTATTATAAGCACTATAAAAGTTAAGCCCCTGAAACACTTCTGCTTTCGAGAAAAATTGAATATAAAAATTTACCGGTGCTCCCGGTAAATTTTGATTAATTTCTAATAGCGCCTACGGCCATATAATGGTAGCTGCGAACATGAAAATCTCAGAATATGTAGTTGTGATATATAATTTCCAAACGGGAATAGCTAATCGGTCAATTTTAGTCAAGAAGCATTGTTTCATAGCTTAAGTGATATCTTGACCTTGAGAAGGAGCTATACAACATAAAGAGTTTATTATTTACAATTTCATCACTTTAGACTCTATTTCAACCGAGACAATGATAACTGAATATTGTAGGATCGCATATGCTTCAAATATGTTCATTTGAACCAAATTCATGACCCCATACCAAAACTTTGTATTAGCTTTAAGCTTGCCTGCACACAATGTATGCACATTCCCCACTCCCTGGAGAGCCTTCCAGCCCAGGAGCAACTTTGGCTAAGTGGAAAATCATAGCAAAATGCTAAGTCAAATACTAATACTTGTGCAAATTTTAAAACTCTGAGCACATCTCTCAATTATTTCCAAAAATAAATGATACCAACGAGTAAAATAGTTTGTAAGGTAATATTGAATATTTCAAGAAATGATATTCTACATAACATAGAATCTAAGGCTATTTAAAATAGTGGGTTCTCGTATCCCGTTCATGTCTGTCAGACGTGACACTCCTGGCGCTCCACAATTATTACCCCGGCTTTAGTACGGCTGCCATTATGGTGCTCTAGCATTTCAAGGAATCAATTCCTGCCAGGTACCCATTTACCTCACCTGGGTCAAGTGTGGCAAATGCAGATTATTATTTTGACAAAGGACATTAATGCCATGGAAGGGGAGGGGGGGGGGGGGGGACTTGAACCGTGAACCATGTGATTCACAGTCCAGTGACATATCCACTAGACCAAGACACCTCAGCAGGTGTGGTGTCTTGGTCTTATACATCCAAAGCCTAGCTTGCACTTAAAAGGGAAGTCCATTCTGATATTAAGTTGGCATTAAGTCGCCGTAGCAATTGGACAATTAGACACACCTTAGCCATGCCCTATAGCGGTTCCATGACGACCGTATGTAGGGCGTACGGAGGCCTTGCGGCTACCTTGCGTCTGCCTTGGTATTTGTCAAACACCTATGGCCACCGCAGGGACGGCCTAAGGCGACCGTGCATCATCACTTCAAAGACCGTACGGCAGCCACAGGTTTTGTGTCTCCACAAATTTGAAATACGCCGTGCGGCTACCCTAACATTTGTGACTGCTACAGTATGTGACCGTGGGAATGCTGCAGCAGCCCTATAATTGCTATTGGCCGTGGATATTTTTGACCCCACGGCCGCTGGGCAAATGTGATCTAGACATAACCTAACCCCATCACAACCATACCTATTTTCACTGAAACCTGCTCTTACCTTGCTTTTCCTTGACTGGGCTAGCGGGTTTGGCACTGGGTGTGGTGGCAAGGGGCTGGCTGGCAGGGACCTCTGGCAAATTGGAGGGCAGTGCTGGTGCAGGGCTTGCCGGAGCTGATGCTGGAGTCTGGGCCTATGGGAAATTTGGAAGAAGATGAATTCACATTTGTAATGATGGTAATAGTAAGTACTTGGATATGCTTTACAGATTGGCAAACCATATAAGAATTACATCAGAACTGCAGACATTCGAGAGCAACTACAGTGTAGTTGTGGCAAAGGGCTGGCTGACAAGGCTCACTGGCAAATTCTTGCTATCGTCAATACCCCAAATGCCCGGATGTTAATTTCAAGAACCCATTTCCACTCTGGGATAGGCATAGCTTGGTGACTTCAAGCGATTTTTTGAAGCTAGAATAACAAACATGAATCACAAATCAAAACGCCGTTAAAAAATATGGTTACATGGTTATCAAGCAAATTTTCATCAACGCTGATTCTCGCTCATTTCAAGCCCAGCCACTGCTCATCACACTGTGCATTTTGACCCAGGAAGTATAGGTCAACTTCGCAGCGTGCTTTCTGTCTGTGTTTACAGTCGATTGTCGGTCAAACCGGAAGCAGGCCATCATAATGATGCTATAGAATCATGATTGAGATCTCCATTCGTTCGAGCAATTTTTAGCGACCGTGATTCTGCAGAATCACGATACAAAACGCATCTTTTTCACAATTTTATGTTTGCATTTTTAACATGTTTATTTGTATGACCGACGAAAAATCGCTTGAACGCAACCGTGTTTTAAACTTAACGTCTTTTTTCACTGACCGGTTTTTCTCAATTTTAGGCTTCTATTAAAACCAACTTAATATCAGGGTGGACTTCCTCTTTGGTGTAAATTATCCTTTGCTCTTTTAGTATCATTTCCTTTTCCTCTATATCAACATATGAGTTAACATTATTCTAAAACACTTTACATGTATATCCTGCATAATGTCAATATGGTTTTTCCAATTCCAATTTCCCTTTTATTGTGACTATAATAGCAGATACATTGACCAAACAACTTAATTTGTTAAATAACAATATTAGCCTACCAACAGGATATGAAATCAATACTTATTGAGAAGAAAAAAAAGGAAACCTAAAACCTAGGTCTATGAAACTGGACAGAGATATGTATCAATAGAAAATAATATTTTTTAATGTTCTTGAGATAACAATTTAGATAACCACAGCGTCAATTTTGAAACATATACTCTTCTTATCAGGAATAATAGATACATTTCTTAAAGGTAATACAAAGTTTTGGAAAATTCTGACAATTGGCTGGATAGTGATTCTTTAAAATTTTGATATATTTGGATGCCCCTGTGGATGTATTATAAGCACTAGAAAATTTAGCCCCTAAAACACTCCTGCTTTCGAGTAAAATTGAATAAATTTTAAATAGCGCTTGCGGCCATACAATTGTAGCTGTGACCATGAAAATCTCAGAATATGTAGTTGTGATATATAATTTCCAAACAGAAATTGCCAATCGGTTGAAGAATCAGTCAAGAAACATTGTTTTATGGCTTAATTAATATCTTGACCTTGAGAGGGAGCTTTACAACATAAAGAGTTTATTATTTACAATTTCCTAACTTTAGACTCAATTTCAACCGCGACAACGATCACTGAATATTGTAGGATCGTATGCTTCCAATATGTTCATTTGAACCAAATTCATGACCCCATACTAAAACTCTGTAATAGCTTTAATGCGTAGATAAATGGATCAGCTCTCATGGAATAAACTACCAGAAAATCTAAAAAAATTGTGGTACTGTTGACAACTTTAAGACGCGTCTTAAAACATTTCTTTTCAAAAATGCTTTCCAATGTTAACGAGAGGACGTATGTTGGGCATACCTCACTCTCCTTATGTTACTCTATCCACCTTTCCTTCTCACTCTTTCTTATAGCGCATAGAGACATATTGTGATATGCGCTATATAAGTATGGTATATTATTAATATAAGTATGGTATATTATTAATATAAGTATGGTATATTATTATTTCGTGTCATACCTTGCCCTTTTTCTTTTTGCTCTTCTTTGACTTTGTGACTGTGAACTCCTCCTCTACCTCCTCGGCCTTGCCCTCAGGCTCCATCGGCGCATCCCCACTTTCTGTCGGTTCCACTGCACTCTCACTCGGTACCTCCTGTGCACCGTCAGTGGCCACGCTCGGTTCCTCGGGCTTCTCGGACGGTATCGTGGATGCAAAGTCGGCGAGGGCAGCTGCAGCTGCTGCTGCTTTCTTTTTCTTTCTCGAGCTTTTGCTACTGGTGGTGGAAGGTGACTCCACTGCCGCAGGAGGGGCGGCAGCTAGAGTCTCCGGAGCTTTCTTCGCTTCTACCTTTTCCTCAGATTTCGTCTGCTCTTCAATCTCGGGAGTTTTCTTCTCTTCGACCTTTTCCACAGATTTTGTCTCTTCTTCTTCAGTCTCGGGAGCTTTCTTCGCTTCAACTTTTTCTACGGATTTTGTCTCTTCTTCAGTCTGGGTGGCAGCATTCTGCTGACGAAATATTACAAACATATCATCACATCATACAACAGTCAAGTAATGTGAAATATCCCAATATCACATTTGGAGACAGTGGAATAAAAGCAAAAAACTTCAAAATCTGAATATGGCTCTAAGATGACACAAATATTTGCCTGGTTAGCTTTGCCATTGGTGAACTGTGAGTAAAGATCTGTGTGAGGGTTTCTTCTACCCGGAGGGAGGGGGGCGGGGCTTCATAACCCCCCCCCCCCCCCCCATTGCTTCTACCCTCTGGCCCTACGTCACAAACCCTTCTCCTTCAAATAAATATTTTCATCTCCATCAAATAAACAAAACTACCAGAACCACATGAAGACATTTCCAACGGTCTATCTAATCACATCTTCATTCCCATTCCTTTCACTCTCGATCTCTTGCTGTTTCTGTTTGGCAACACCCACCTCTGCAGTCATATTAGACTCTCCAACAGCCGCTTGCTCGGTGGCTTTGGGGCTGCTCTGTGCACTGTCCCATGAGGCCGTCATCTTGTAAGGCCTGGGGGAGAGCCTAGCTGGGCCTTGACTGGTGACCTCTTTGTGGCCTGCATTCTGCTTGTTCTGCTTGCGCTCCTTCTTGGAAATGGGGGTGATCCACCCTTCACCTGTAGCCAAGTATATTATCATTGGAATGTTAACATCATGTGCAAAAGTAATTGTCACCAGGAGTACGAAATTGCTGCTTAACATACATACGTCATGTATGCAACTATTCTGCGTAACAATCATAGAAAAACTGAACATAAATTACTTAAGGTTCAAAGCAAAATATTATATTGGACTACATTACATGTATGTAAAAAATATTTGAGGCATTTATATGTGATTTACTTCTTCTGAGAAGAAAAAAAAATGACATGTGTGTTCATGTTAATCTGTTTTGGGGTTGTTTTTTTTTGCAATATCAAAATACTTAGTAACTGTGAACTGTCATCATTGTCATAGTATTTCTTGAAAATATTTGAGGCATTTATATGTGATTTACTTCTTCTGAGAAGAAAAAAAATGACATGGGTGTTCATGTTAATCTGTTATTTTTTTTTTTTAATTTCTTCAATATCAAAATACTTAGTAAATAGTAGCTGTGAACTGCCATCATTGTCATAGTATTTCTTGAAGGATGTCAACTACAACTAATTGAAATAGATCTTTAATATACACTCACCCAATTCAAAACCCAAATGCCCCAATCTACACGTAAGGTGCATGTACAGTATGTGTACTTTTATAGCATAAAACACTAGACATCAGTGATATGTACTTTCATTGAATAAAATGAACATTTTATATATGAGGCACTCATGGAGGTAACTGTAACTGAATTCTTGAATTCTGATATGTATGAAATTTACTTTATCAAATGAAGACCTCATGGGTAGAGCTCAAATTCAATCATTCTCAATTTCTCCTCCTCATTCATCAGTAATTTTCAACTCTTTGAACAAAGTCCTAAACATCAAAGCAACTAACTATGTACATCTTATTAGCTTCAGATTAAATACAAACAGAAAACTGTTGGAGAATATTGATGCCCTGTGGAGAATCTGATGACTCAGATTTTCCAGGAAACTTTCACGTGAAATACCGCCTTGGAATCTCTCCACCCACATACCAACCATGATAACATAAACATACTTGTTGTAACTCAAGTGATTTGTCCAAAAGAGACCAGTAATGGGGATTCTAAGTTAATATGTACATTGTAGAGCCTGTATGTGTTGGCAGTGCACCTTGTTAAAAATGTGAAATTGAGGGGATGGACTTAGATTAGGGGCACCACTGTGTCTCGGAGGGGGGAGGGGGGCTGGTAAAGTCAAGCCCTGCAATGACTATACAAGACAATTGTATTTTTTTTCTCTATATAGACCTATTCTTCACATATCCCAAACACCATCTTGAAACATTATTGATTTTTTTTCGTCTATCATTTACTCTGTTACATGTAACTATGACTGTGAAAAAAATTAATTCAATATGGATCAACATCAATAAATACAACAAAAAGAAATACTGTGCAACACATCTACTTATCTATTACAAGTGTAAATTCAACTCGATTTGTGTTAATTATAAATTGTGTGGTGATAAAGCAACTTAGAATTGATCAATCAAAACCACCTGACTGATAGCTTTATTTTTCAAGATTAGACTGCGTAGACTTGTTTCACTTGTTAAAATTGGAATGGAAACTGGAAAGCAGCAATGCAATACTTCATGAATTGATTGTAAATATTGATCAACAAAGACAAATCTCACTTCCTGCACGGGATTCAGAAAGGTCTGCTTTGAAGCACAAGCTGGCTTTGTACATTGTCTGTTTTTTCCTTCTTCCTTTTTTCAACACTGGGTAATACTATACACACAGCCCTAGACATAACTTTCCTCAATTTCAAACTCAGTCAAGATTAAAAGAAACAGCAAGAACTGAAATACTGGGAGGCCTCAGATTTTTGCTGTTAGCACTTATAAATTTTCAAGATTTAGCCTGGTACCAAAAATAGAATATCAAATATAAAAATTGAAAATAAGAATAAAACAAAAACAAACACCTATAGCCAGGGCTTCGTTTCTGAAGGGCATCTGGATCTAATTCTAGAGTTTGTATGCATAAGAGTTGAGACCGATATAACATTTTGAGGTTCTTGACTGAGATTTTAGACACCCTTGTGTCCAAGAGTCCTGTGACATGTTAATGTTGAGCCCAGCTTTAGCTCTATATCATAAAAGGCAAAACAGGGTTACAGACTTACAGCATTGTTGACTAGGTGAATTATTTTTATACCATATTTAATATCATTATTTTTACCATTAATGTCTTCTTATCATTATTCATCATTATCATTAACAAAATACAGCATTTAAGGGCTACAATTTAATCTTAGAAGCAAATGACTGAACAACAGCATGGGATGATTTTAACCACATCTGGATATGAGAGATGAGAAGTACATTCCATCATACTAGTTTGTAATTTGTGATCATTTCATGATAAATTTACTTTAGCATCAACACTGCTGCTACCCGGCATTGTAAAGAACCATGAGTACCATTTTCCACCCCACATGCTATTACGAAGACACCCAACCCTTTTTTTTAAATCCACATCACTTAATGTTGGCCCCTTGACGGATACCCAATTTTTTATATTTTTTTTAGGGGAAACCAAATTTTAAATGCATAAGATAAAGCCTGATTCTTCTTCCTCTACTCCACTAAAAGTCCTGTTCCTCTCAATCTGTCCTGTATGTTCCAAATTCTTTATACCTCCATGATTGTTCTGTGAAAGTAAAATACTTTTGCTGACGTGCATCTCAATCTACCCAATACCCAATTATGACATAAATGGCTCTATCGCCATAAATCGTAGTCCGGGTGATCCTACACTTTACATGTATATGCTCCTGGGCCAATTACAGTCCAAGGGAAGTCCACCTTGATATTAAGTTGGTTTTAATAGAAGCAGAAAAACGAGAGAAGCAGAAAAATGAGAGGAACAGGTCAGTAATAGTTATTATTTGTGACAAGTTCACAAGCACAAATCAGCGCCTTCGACTGTAACTCACAGTAAAATAAAGGTCCTTCCCCGCGTGGTTTTTGATCAGGGACCTAGCCTGCTCCCTGCGGAGTCGGCCCCCAAAATAGGGGGGCATCTTATACACAGGTGCGTCTTATCCACAGAGATTTACAGTAATCTGACTTTGCTCAAACTTCCACTAAACTGCTTTCTCTCATTTTTGTGCATTTATTAAAACCAACTAAATATTAGGGTGTATTTCTTCTTTAAAGTGCGGGTTCATAGAAAATCACAAATATGGCAAATAGCGTATTACTAGAAACTGGTAAGCTAACAGATGGCCATCATGTAAGTTTTAGTTCAACTACATATCGGGTGATTTATAAAAATACAAATAAAACAACCTCTATAGCATCTGGTATATGCGAGAGATTCGCCGGAAAAATAACAATGTTTTAATGCCGTCACAATATGAACCAACCCTGCCCAAGCAGACGACACCCCATAAAGAATGAACATAATTGCAATGCTTTTATTTCTCAAATTATAATGAGTTTAGTGTATATAAATGTGATGGAATTTTACACCATTCAAAAAGGGATATGACCCCCATTCTGAAAACTAAATTCTTTTGTTTGTAAATACACAGGATAGGGGTTAATGAACAATCAAAGAAACCACACTTTCAAATTAAAAAACCTCCGGAATGATAGCATGGACGTCATTTGTTCCCTCTTGAAACGCTGAACATGCCGCGGTGTATGCAGCTGAAAATACAATGGCGTCCTATTTTGTTTACAAGCGACAGATTCCTTTTTCTTCTTTTTTCCTTGCTTTTTTCATCCAAATAATACCATGCACGGGGTTTAGAGTGAGGCAATAGATTAAACATTTCGCCTGAGGGTATTGAAGTAAGAGAAAAAACTGAAGAAAAGATGACAAAACAGGCAGTGAAATTGTGTGAGATGTCATGGGACATCGTCTGCTTGTGCACATCATGTTCAACATGTGACGTCATATCTCAGCAGCGACCGGAGAGCTTTTCAGGTGCTATGTCGGGGCTGTATCTAAGCGTTTTGTAATTGTTAATAATCATTACTTTGAATGTTGTCTTAGCATTGGCTTTTGATAACCTTGGCCAATCAAAGTGTCACCTTTGCAATAATGACATTAAAGTTAGTTTTTTAAATCAATGAATTTTCTCTTTAAAGCCTATTTGCACTAGTTTGGCAAGGAGGGATTTAGACCTCCCCGCATGGTCACTGGCAGGTGGTTATCTCATAAAATCAGCTCTCAATTAACATAAGAAAAAGGGGACCATGGGGGATCAATGGGTACCACTTAGGCATTGTCGGCTGTATAGAGGGCGCATCTGGCGCAAGTAGCTACAAGTAGTGCAATCCCGCTTTAAGGTTACATGTAGGTTTGGGTATGGGTTAGTCAACTCAAGGGTAAAGTGTTTAGTCAAGGATTGAAGTTTTTCTGAATACTTGCCTCCTTCTTGCTCCTCTTTCTGCTGCTGCTTGCCAGCACCCTCGTTGGTCTTCTTCTGCTTTGCGGCACTGTTATTTGTCGTGATCTTAGGTACTGCCGGCTTAGCCTTCTTAGGCGAGGCATTGCTACTGCTACTGCTTGGAGATGCTGTCTTGACTGGTGCTACTTTCTCCCGGTTCTCTTTCTGTGTTGGTACTGACCCATTGGTACTTGCTTTCTCTGGCTTCTGTGAAGATAAAACAAGTTAAGTCTGCATGGTTAGGCTTACATTTCCCACAAGACATGCATATATTGCCTGTTTGGAGCCAGAAGGGCATTAACCCAAATATTTTACTACAGATTTAACGCCCTTCTGGCTCTGGCTCTGGCTCATACTGTACAATTGCATGAGCAGAAGTTCAGAACTCAACTTTGTCTTTGTCTACAAGTTTTAAGGTATTTTTTGTCTGTGATCTCAATAACAAAGATGATATGAAGTCACAACATTTAAACTACATACATAAAAGCATCAGATTCTTCAGACAACTTACATACATATCTTAAAGACTCTAGGTAATTCTCTGGTTTCTGCCTAACATAGAAAAATAGCCTGGAAAGAGAATAGTTATGCAATCGCGATTACTACTCGTGATACCTCACTTTCATGGCCACATACTTACTAAGGGTTAGGGTTGGTTGAATTTTAGGCCGTTTGAGGTATCGCAATCGTAAGTGCGTATCTATTCTATCCTATTCTATTCTATCTTTCCTTTTTTCTTCTACTTTGGCCTTTGGGCGGAATCAGGAGAATTACATGTACCAGACTCCTATAATCAGTGGAAAGAATGTTATCCTATGATTCGATCCCTACTATAAATTAAGTAACTGGGATCGAATGCAGCCGAGCTCAAACACTCTCAGAGTCGGAGACGGAGTTACGGCCAAAATTTTTGTAAGAAACTTCTCTCACAACAAAGATTCCCGACATTCATCACATGAAACAGATTGCGATTTTGACCATGTACATCTGCGTCAATCATTTGATATTCATTTCTGATTTTGATAACATTTAAAAGTGTTTATTTGATGGAAAGATGGCTGAAAAATGACAGACATGAACAGATTTGATATCAATGAATTGAACTTTGAGTTTGAAGAACGTTATCAAGACCAACGAGAGCACCTGAAGAGTTCATTTTTAACAGTAACACACCTGAGCAATGCACACTAGATTATACACAGAATAGCATTTCACATCGTCAAATTTCAATAGCTTTATAGTTGAGAGAGATGAATAAACATACCGAGGTCACTCTTTTTCTGCCGCGTCTTGATTTCTTGTCATTGGATTCATCATCAAAATCGAAACTCGGTGGCTGCGGACTCGTCATGCGAAATCCAAACATGAAGACAAGACAAACCAGCACAATCACGGCTAAAACCGGGATTGTAATGTGCGGTGGAACGACGCTTTGGACATCCATGTTGGGTTATCAACCGTCACCTAAAACTCGTGAAATTCGTAGTCATTTAGGAGTTCGTTTTCGTTTTCAAGTTCACCAGCTGTTCACAAGTTTCATTCGTGTCACTGCATGATTTTTAGCGTGCAAAACATAAATGGCCGATTTTGTACACGTACGTACGTAGTGACGCACAAACTAGATTTGTTCCAGTAGTTTGTAATATCTATAAACTCAGCAATTATTTTTTTTTCAATTGAATTTAACTCTTATCTATTTTGTACAGGCATAAACATTAAAATAGTTCTTAGTTTTATTCAATATCCACTTATGATTGTATTCTTCCCTTTAAATGTATTTTAATTTTAATCACAATAAACAAAAGACTTGAACGAAGCTATCAATTACATCCTCCGCAGCCACGTAAGCGTAACATTTGCGATGTTATTGATACATCCACGCTGAGTTTCGAGAAATTGCGAAATAATAATTCGCAATAACAGAAAATCTTGGTTCAAGGGACTTTCGATGGAGTGGTGGATGTAGGCTCAAAAGATAAGAGGAGGGACACCGCCCCCCCCCCCCCCCACACCCCCTGCATAGACACGCGTCCATCCAATCCCGGTGGATTCACCCTTGACCATTGTGGAAGCCTTTGAAATGAGGGTTAGATTAGATGAGGGCGATTAATTCCCAAGATCTTAGCTGGAAAATTAACATGGGGGAGGGGGGGGGGGGTATACTCACACATTAAGACATACGAGGTGTGCCGCTCTATTAACTGGGTCATTTTTCACACAAAAATTCCTTAACAAGGGTCCCATCTTTAACCCCAAAAAAATCCCTAGACATGGGTCAATTCAGCATCAAAATTGTAAAAAAATGGGCTTTATTTCGAGAAAAATCCCCCAAAATGACCCTTAAAACAAGCGCGTATAGCCAGGATTTCATTTTAAGGGGGGGGGGCGGAAGTGAGCACATATACATATTTAAACGTCTTTGACGCGAAGCGTGCAAATCACTTAAAGAGCGGCGCGTAGGGGGGGGGGGTGGGTGCAGAGAGGGGGAGTTTCCCCCCTCCCGCGCGAAGCGCAGAAGCTTTGAAAAAAGATGATTCGTTGTACCTTTCTCGACTCGTAATCCTTGTCTGAATTCAGTCCGCCCCTCCTGCGCATAGCGCGGAAGCTTTGACGTATAATTAGACAAAGAAGACGATTCGTTGTACCTTTCTCGACCCTTAAATCCTTATCTGAATTCAATTTCCTCCCCTCCCGCGCAAAGCGCGGAAATTTGAAGTTTCATTAAATTATTAGAGAAAGAAGACGACTCGAAGTACCGTTCTCGACTCTTAATCCTTGTCTGAATTCAGCCCCCCCCCCCACCCCACCCCTCCCCCTCCTTGTCCGATGCTGAGCTTTAGAGAGAAAAAATAGAATTTCATATCTTGATCATAGTGAATCAGGGCGTTAAACAGGGACATGGGGTCGGCAAACAGGCGGTTAATTGCTCCCTTTTCATTGGAAGTAGAGAATAAATTTCGAATGCCTCCAATCAAAGCGCCCTTCCCCCGGTCCACCCAGTGAAAAAATGACAATCGAACTGAGCTAATTACTAGGCTCACAGTCACAGAGAACTATATCCATGCATTTCTGCTTTCCCCAAAGCTTTTGGGGAGAAACAAAATTCAAAACTTAAAGAACTATTGGTCGAACTTTTAAAACCAACTATAGAGCGACAATAAATATATCTGTCATAACCAAAAAGGTATTCAGTTCTATCTTATCACGCTTGTGATTTATTATCTCTCCATGATGCATGAGAAGATAGCTATAACCTAGGAATAAAATGACTTTGTTTGAATAAATCAACTGAAATCACCAAACGGAGTGACGTATAGCTATAGAGCATGGAAGCACGTGCCACTCGCTCCCCCCCCCCAAAAAAAAAATCGAGGGTGAAAATTAAAGAAAAGAGAGACTAGGGAACCCAGAGAAAAAGGGACGAGAAAGAAAATGTCTGGACCATCTCACGTACCTGCTTTCGGGGCTCTAGCCTCCCCTAAAAAAAGGAGTTGATTCCCCTCCCAATTTTTCTTAATTATTCTAGCACGTGTATAAAATAAATGCAAAACCCTCAGTTCCCCCATCCCCTATTAAAGTCAGGGGCGGATCCAGCCGGCGGCAGGGGAGGGGCCAAAGAGGGGGCCCAATTCGTGAGAAAATATTTGGTGGCGAAACAGCCAGTCGGTGAATAAGCGGTTAGTGAGCACTAATTTTTATGTTGCCCTCGAAAATTTAAAAATCGCGCCCCCCTCCCCCGTCCTTGAGCACCAGAGGAGGGGGTACTGGATCCGCCACTGCCCTAAGTCGCATCCTACAAATTAGTTCCGTAGAACCTCGCCTTGGAAAATGCCCTCGATCCTTCGTTTCTTTGACCTGAATTTGTTCTTCCATCTTCAAAAATACAAGTGCCGTAAATAAATTCGGGAAGTTTTCTTGGTTTGTAGCTCAAATATATTTTTTCATAAATTATTACACAAAATAAGGGACAAGCTACAGAACAACCAGGTATATTAAACTCACATATCCCTGGAACAACCAATTCAACAGACAATCCTCAGACATCTCCATAATAGTTAAGAGCGCCCTCTCTCAAACTTAAAACGCGCACCGTCGTAAATTTGTCCCAAAATCATGTTCAAAATGTTTCTTCGTTCGTGAATCTATTGTAGTTTCAAGTTACTCTTTCGAAAGAATTGTTATCCTTTTGCTCATCCTTATGAAAAAAATATAAAGAACTGATAGGACTATACTACAACTCCGTCCTACTATGTCTTCATTGATCGCAACAATCCTTCTTTTTTTTCTTTCTTTTTCTTGAAGAAAAAAAATGTAAAACACGTGAATTTAACCCTTTTTTGTTATAAAAGGAGACAGACCCCTTCCCTGACGCTCAAGGGGGAGGGGAGGGGGGGGGGGGATGAGTGCTCTGAGATTTTCAAATTTTCGGGCGGAAAAATAAAATAGCGCTCACTACCAAAAAAAATCTCCAAAAATAAAGTGCTTCCCTGTGACAAACAAATGCCTCTTTCGAATTCCAAGTAAACATATTATGACCCTTTTGCAAAGTGCCCCTCCAGATATGTATTGCGCATTTTTACAATGTGTGACCGGAACAAATTTTCTTGTATTCTTGTAAATTTGGATGAATAAAAAGAATTGTATTGAATTGAATTGATGTAAAATACCCCCTTCTTTATGTATAAAGTGGTCTCAGATTACAAAACGCAACCCAAGTTTAAGGTTTTGCCGTATTCCAATCGCATGAATGATTTACACTTTCACATACAGTATCTTAATGGCTTATAATTTACTTATAATATGCAGCTTTCCATGTTTCAGCTGTTTCCTTTTTCTCTAATTTCTTTTAAACTTTAAAAGAAGCTTTCTTCAGTTTTGTGTACTTCCCACCCGGACTTTGGATGAAAAAAAGAAATGATTTCAATTATGTTTGCGGGATTTAGCATCTGAAAACTTAAGCGTGATTATGGGTCAAATGGTTGAGATATTAATCTGAAGATAGAAACCCATGTTTGAGGCCAAGATCTGACAAGTGGGGGCACTAATTTTATAGGGATTCATTGGTTGCACTCACAAAATCAATGTTTAGGGATTGTTTGCAACAAAAAAAACCCATTAGAGCGGCACATCCCCGTATACCGTATTGGGTACACCCCCCCCCCCGGGGGGGGGGGGCATAGGCTCTACTCAGTTCCAGTAGGCAACGGGTTAACATGCATCTTACTTTTTAATTAAAGGTAACCCTTCAATCTTTTTTTTTGTTTTTTTGGGGGGGGGGGGGTTGTGCTTTGATCTTTCACTACAACGCCCCCCCCCCCCGAAGTTCTAAGTGATAAGGATGTGGAATTAGGTAATTCTCACTATTTGGTGTAACCGGCAAATATACATTTTTCTACGACGTGTCATGTTTTTATTTGAAAGTAATTTTAATAGGCCAATTTCGTAATGTAACCAAATTTAATACAGAAATCTTTGTGAAGTGTCTCGATACAAACTATTTCATTCACCTGATAAGAATAATAGTATTTCAATAGACAGAATCCGAATTGCATACATCATTAGTGTTTCCAGGTAGGGCAAACATTATGGATTGCCCTACCTAGCAACACTTGATATATGCAGTTTGCATTCTGACTATTGAAATACTTTTATTCGTATCAGGTGAATAAAATAAGATGTATTGAGGCACTTCACAAAAAATTATGCAATAAATTTGGTTACATTACGAAAATGGCATATTTAAATTGTTATTCTTTATTCATGATACGACCCGAATGGCCTTCAAAGAGGGCACGAGGGAATGTTTTAATTGCCAACATGATTAAAGTAGGAGGAAGGAGCCTTCGATCATTCAATTATACATAAAACAGGCCAAAGGTTGATATTTCTATCTGTCTATCTGCTTATGAAACCAGTTCCTCTGGAATTCCCTAAGAACCGCAGATTCCAGGCCAATCAGTAAAAATGTGGACTCCTTGAGCAAAGAATACAAGCCAATAAAAGTCCCCAAACTTTTGTGTGTGTATTGAGAATGCAGTACAGCGCATCGTACTGGGATTAGATTAGCGAAGTGAATAGTGGAGCGACCGTACCGTTCCGGGGAATTGGCCGCGCCCGAATTACCAAACTTCAGTTTACACGAGAGAACGGAGAAGGAGTGACATGAAAATGGCGTTGGGGCTAATCGTAAAGCTCCTTTTCGCGGCTATTTGCTGCGTATCTGCGACAAGCCATGAAAACGAGACATTAGTATTGAATCCTCCTTATTTTAACATTGCCCGTGGACGTGAAATCGAGGCGACTGCGACCTGCGGTGAGGGATTTGCTACCCCTGGAGAGCAGGGGGAACTTTACTGCAAACTTACTGGAAACACGGCTGACATCTACCGACCCGGCGAACATGTTATCATCCAAGGGCAGTATTGTGATAATTGTGACCCCGGCGATCCCGCCAAGGCACATTCCATCGAATACGCAATCGACGGTACAGAGAAATGGTGGCAGAGTCCTCCGCTATCCCGCGGGATGAGCTTCAATGAAGTCAATGTCACTGTCAATTTGGGCCAGGTAAGATGGAGGCAGATGAAAAGATGATGAAGAAGAAATCG